AGTCACCCTTGGGGGGTCGTTGAAAAGAAACTTTTTTTATGTGATTACAAAAATTATTGTCAAAACTATTTTTTAAAAACATTTATTAAAGAACCTTTTATTTTATGACTGGAATTATATACATATAGTTAATAAAGTTAAGATATATTTTGTTACATCTGGTGATCCGTTTATTTGGCAATTGCCAATGGCAGTCAGCAGGGTTTAAGAACATCCGTTGTTCGACCTGCTAGTCAAGTGTGTTTTGTTCAAATGTATTTTGTCACTTTTTTGGTCTTTTGGAAAATGTTGTTTGTGCTGTATCTAGATCCCTCTACCAATAAATTTGTTTTGAATGCACACGTATACAAATTGCGGTTTTTATCCAACGCAATCATAGGTTTGAACGTTGTTTTCAAATTAGACTTGTTCATATAGTCAATATATACATCCCCATTTAGAGGCCCCTGACATACTGTAAATTCACGAAATGATTGTTATCGACAGCCATTGACACACATGATAAAGTAAATAATTCAGTAAAACAAGTAAATAATTCGACCTCATTATATCCATATTCATGTGACCTTCAGTTTGACCCCTTAGCTGGAGATAGCTAACGCATGTAATCAGCTTTTAAAAAGGAAAATAATGCCAGCATTGAGAATTAAACATGGATGAACCATTTAATTCGATCCATAAAAAATCATCCTTTACAGGTAAAAACGATGATAAACATATTTTGAACCTACAATATGAAATCAAGAACTAGAAAAATCCAATTGCACGTGGTCGCTTAATATTTATATTCGTTTATGTCACGGGTTATATGACCATCGGCAGTCTTCGATGGTAATCTCGATGGTTAATTAGATGACGTCTAGATGATTAATTGATTGTTTGTTGCTTTACGTCCAGTGGAAAATGCTTCATGTATGTTCAGGACGATTGATTGATTGATTGTTGGTTGCTTAACGTCCAGTGGCAAATAGTTCATGCATATTCAGGACGAGAACAAATTAACAATAAATACAAAAGGTAGGTTCTGTAACAGGGGCGTCCGGGATTAAGGTCGGAGAAATTTAGACTGCCACGGGAAATGAGGGTATATTGGATAGGGTCAGAAATTTAGCCTTGCAACAGGTCACCTACGGACCCCTCAAAGAGTTGTTGCAAGGGTTCTTAACGTGCAAAGAGCGTGGCATTCTCTTTACACGAGGCATCGGATTTAACGTCCCCATTCTGACCGGACGTGGCTGCAAATTTGTACATCCCGCACAGCCAAACGGACGCCCCACTTTAGCAAGCGTTTTACTGACGGTCGGAGGAAGACCAATGGTGACCATACTTCTATTCCCCAGTCACCCTTGAGGTTGTTCAGGACGAGGACAAATTAATAATTAATACAATAGGTAGGTCCTCCAATAGAGGTCGTCTGGAATGAAGGAGCAATTTGAACTATCCTAGGATGAGGGTATATTGGATGTGGGCAGAGATTTTACCTCGCAACCGGGCACCTATTGACCCCTCACAGTGTTGTTGCAAGGTTTCTTAACGTGGACAGAATGTGACACTCTCTTACATGAGGCATCGGATTTAACGTCCTCGTTTTGACCGGACGTGACTGCGTACTTGTACAGTCCACACAGCCAAACAAACGCCCCACTAAAACAAGGGTTTTACTGCCGGTCGGAAGAATTCACGAAGTGACCATATTTACATTTCCCAGTCACCCTTTGACGTCTAGACAAAAATACACAATAAATGCCGATACAAAATATCGAGTCCATGCATTGATTATTGTTTATTTTAGACTTTTTGTAATTTGGATACACGTTTTAGTGTTTTAAAGTCAAATATGATAATTGAGGTCAAATCAGTGAACATGAATTTGAAACAGCTAATGCCCCATCAAAGAATGCATTTTTATAAATATTTAATATATCGTAAAGTCGAACAGCACACCAATTTTTTTTTTATTAAAGAAAGCAGCTTGTTTGTTCTCCCAAATTATATCATCAAATAAAGCATGATCGAAGTTTATAGTATAATTTAATTCTAACAACCAGTTTTACACTGTTATGCCTAGGTCACACATTCACGGATCATCTCGCCGGTTCCACTTCGGATTAAATCTCACGGATGATCCCTGAAATGCAGTTTCCGTAGTCCGATACGGATGCACGAAGGTGTGACGACGGGTTTTGACGTATCTACCAAGGGAAATGGAGGAAAGGGGTCATTTGGCGGCATGAGTATTACGGATTCTTACGGTACGACACGATTGAATACGAAAATAACACGGTTTGATAGGCAACGACACGAGTCGGGGCGTATGTATAGCGGATAAACAGCGGTTTGCTACGGTATAAGTACAAATGAGAACGGTCTGATACGGAATAGTACGAACCGCCACATTTTCTAAGCTGTTAATCATTTCTAATTAAGCTTGTGATTTATCATTGCTTTATGGCAGTGAATTATTTTTGTTTTGTTTTATTAAATTATTTATCGGTCTGTCTGTACTAGGTGGTATTCTTCGTAATCCTCGGACCAACGACAGTTCTTGAAACACATTTGGGTCTTTTCTTACAAAGTTCTTAAATTCAGCTGGATTTTCCGCACAAAGTTCAGCCATGAGGGCCTCGTACTGGCCATGGATAGGTCTTCGGAGAAGTCAGTCTCTAGTCCACTATCTCCTCTCCCTCCGATCACCTCTACGTCTGTCATCAAGTAGCTCGACCACTGCCCTGGCATTTTGTGCCATATCAATATCCAATGACAGCCAATTATTTGCAAGCATCAGTTGTTGATTGTTCATGTTGGGTAATGTTATGTATACCTCTACGACAAGACACATACTACGTTGGGCCCTATACGTAGGGAGTGTTTATACAGAAGCCTGATGTAAGTGTGTCGTGGACCGTAATTTTCCGTATTTTTTCGTGTTGTAACGTAGTAAACCGTAAAGACTTTGAGAACCCTCGCTGATCCCTATCTATCCGTATTGCAATGTAATGAAATCGTGCCGTTCCGTGACAAATCGTATTGTATCCTTAAAAATACGTGGTGTAACCGTACTAGTACGTAGTTCTCCGGAACTGACGGTAGAAATCCTTCTGGCATACGAATAAGTACGGATTAATACGGTTTTAATCAGGACTAAAACAGATCAGTACGTTCTAATACAGTTTAGTAAGGATATACTACGGTTGTTTGAACCATGGTCAAATTTTGCGCATGTTCAAAAATTGTCACGGATATACAAGTACTACTACGTATGACTACGGCTACAATACGGAAATTTACGGATCAACCCATATCGCCACGAATGACGCCGGATCGTATCCGTAGATAATCCGGCGTCAAATCCGTGAATGTGTGACCTAGGTTTTAGGCTTCTTGAATCACTTGGTCCTACCTATTATTTAATTATGCAATTACCCGCTTTGTTATTCAAGCTGATCAGAGTTTTCGTGGTCCGTCATTTATACAGATACCCACTCACTTGATCGAATGTTAGACTTCGTTACAGGAGACAAAGATAAGTAATCATTGGCTTTAAAAACACCAAACATGGCAAGAACATTTTAACAACTCTCTTATAAGAATCTCTTTCATTGTGAATGTAACAGTTTTATTGACTTTTTCTGATTTCCAGATATTAAAAAAATTGCATTGTATCTATAAGGCACCAAATAACATAAAATAAGTCTACGATTATTGATTGTTTAAAAAAATATCAATGGAATATAATGCAAGAGCACAAAATAAGAACATATTTAATAGTCACACCTCTAAGTGTGAAGACTTATACTTAGGGCTTTGGGATTTGACGGCCAAAAATTTTAGGAATGTGACATGTGGTCAAAAGTTTAGACTCGCAATAGTCCAACTACGGATTTGGTAAACGATGTTGTGAGAGGTTAACTGCAGGAAGTGTGGCATTGCCCTACACAAATCTTCTTATTCAACCTCCTTATTCTATTATGATATGGATGCGTATTCAAACATCGTGCTGAGCAACTTTTCGACAAAACTTCACCCTCAGAAAGAGAGATTTTAAACGATTTTTGGTATCCTGGGTAGTCGAGTTTCCTCGCAGTTTTGCAAAAGCGAAAGACATCATAGAATGGTTTTCATTGTTATATTATTAAATTTCTCCTTAGGTTTATAATCTTTTTATGGCCTTCTTTCAAACAACAAAATATAATTCAGGAATAATATTTAATAAAATTAGAAATTTCACACAGCAAACCACAGAAAAAGACTTTCTTATTGATAAGCAGTTCATAAGTGATTGATTGCTTAACGACAAGTGACAAGTATTGCATGCATTTGTAGGACGAGAACAAATTAACAATACATACAAAAGGTACGTCCTATATATGACCATTTATGATGACGGTCGGGGAAATTTAGACTTCCACTCGAAAATGAAGGTATTTTAGATAGGGACAGACATTTAGCAATGTTACAGGCCACCTACGGATCGTTCAAAAAGTTGTCAGAAGGGTTTTTAACGTGCAGAGAGCGTGGCATTATCTATTCCCGAGGCAAGGAATTTATCGTCCCAATTCTGACTAGACGTGACTGCGTACTTGTAAATTCCGCACAGCCAAACAGACGTCCCACTTTGACAAGGGTTTTACTGCCGGTCGAGTGAAGACCTATAAAGATCATATTTCTATTCCGAAGTCAAAGAAGGGATATTTACAACCAGTGGCAAATATTTCATTCATTTGCAAGACCAGAACAAATTAAGAATACATTTAATATGTATGTACTGTAAAATGGTGGATAATAAAACAAAAACCCCCTTAAAAAGTAAAATCACAAAAATACTGAACTCTGAGGAAAATTCAAAACGGAAAGTCATTAATCAAATGGCTAAATCAAATGATAAAACACATCAAACGAATGGACAACAACTGTCATATTCCTGACTTGGTACAGGCATTTTCAAATGTAACATTTTGAATTGATATAATCGAAGCTTTTTTTTTTTTTATCTATTTCAGAAAGTATGTCAACAAAAGAAGCATGTGCCCAAGCTCAAACACCGGAGGGTAAGTTGGATGGGCGACTGAGACTTGTAACATGCTAACTTGCTTTTCACTCTAAACGAACTTAAGTATGAGCAACATGATTTTTTGTTGTTTTGTAAATTGCTTTAAACTAGCTTATAGTTAACTGCGAGTACTGACAGATATGTACTTTGTGTCTTTTTGTGTTTGTGTAAGGGTTTTTATGTGCTATTAATCTATCTGAGGAGTAAAGCCAATTCCAATTGATTGACTGTTGATTGCTATACTCCAGAGACAAATTACAATAAATACAAAAGGAATATCCTGTAACAGAGGCCGCCAGGGATGAAGGTCGGGGAAATTTGGACTTCCACAGGAAAACGAGTGTATATATGATAGTGACAGAACTTTTGCCTTGCAACAGGTCACCTACGCTCCCCTCAAAGAGTTGTTGCAAGGGTTTTTCACTTGGAGAGACCGTGGCTCTCTATTTACACAAGGCATCGGATTTAACTTCCCCATTTCGACCGGACGTGGCGGCGTACTTGAGACATCCCGCACAGCCAAACGAACGCCCCACTTTAGCGAGGGTTTTACTGCCAGCCCGAAGATGACCTGTCGTGACCATGTTTCTATTCCCTAGTCTCCCTTTGGGGCATTCCAATTGATTTTTATAGTTTGATATCATGTCGTACTGTTACTCATCTGTACTAGGTGAGGGGGAGGGTTTGACGCCAGTAAACATGTTCAACCCCACCACATGATGTACGTGTCTTTCCTAAGTCAATAACTTGTAATTCAGTGGTTGTCGTTTGTTGTTATATATCATATTTATTTTTCGTTTAATTATTTTTTTTTATATTTATTTTAGACCGTTAATTTTTTTGTTTGAATTAATTTAAATTTGTCATATAGCTTACTGTGCAGTGTATATTTTGCTTTTTGTTGAAGGCCGTATTGTAACCTATTGTTGATAACTGATATGACATGCGGTCTCTAGTTGAGAGTTGTCTCAATAGCAATCATACCACATTTCTGCATCCCATGCAACCAAACAGACTCCTCACTTTGGCAACGTTTTTAATACCTATCCGAAGTCCAGTAGACCATTTCTCTTTAGCCAAAGTCAACTTTTGGGTTCACAAGATTTATGTGACATTGCATTTTATCTTCGAGTAACCATATAGAATAATATTTCTAAAGATTGATTATTCTAACTTTTTCGCTTAAAGATCAGTGGCATATTCAAAATGAGCACACAATAAGGACAAATTGTATTCCTTAAAGTAGGTCGGCTGGTTAAGTGTAAAATAACAAAAACACCGAACTGCATGGGAAATTCAAAGTGGGAAGTCCATTATAAATCCAAAGCTCAAACACATCTAACGAATGGAAAACAACTGTCATTTCCTGACTTGGTACAGGCAGTTCCTTGAGTAAAAAATGGTTGATTAAACCTAGTTTTATAGCTAGCTAATCCTGAACTTATATGACAGTCGCATTGAATTCCATTATATTGACAACAATGTGTGAAAAAAATGGAAAAGAGACAATTAGTATGGCTTCTTAAATAACCCACCAATAGATGATAAATAAGTTTAAAGTCAGAAAAATGTAGTCATCAGTGTTTTTCTAGAACATGACTTAAATAGATAAATAAATCGCATCAAACAAATAACGTCCCCCGGTGCATTGGTATGTCCAGTATGCTAAACACATTCCTTTTTTTTATTTCAATCTCTTTCATTTATACACTTATTCTGTCTCTTTTGGTGTGAAGGACAGGAGGATTTTATATATCTATTTTTAGAAGTTGTACCTATTCCAATGAAAATTAGTCATATTTGATGTCAGTAATCATGTTTAATCATCTTTTTTGGAAGAACAATTCTGTTTATGGGAAATTTCAGCCCTTAAAATGACATAATTAGGTATTTCAGCCTTTGATGGTCATACAACATGCATGCAGTTAAGACTTGACTCCAATTTGTTTTTTTTTTTGCATTATTTGGGATTGAAATCAATAAAACATGTACATTATGACTTGTTCATGGTAAAAAACTAGCTCTTGGTCAAATAATCCTATGATTTTTCAAGTTTTATTGGTTTTCTTATGGTAGTCTTTTACAATCTAGGCTATTGGTATATACTCATATAAGAATTCCAAAATCTCACTGTACATGCAATTTTGAACCAGTTTAGCAATTTATCCAGCTGAGGGATATATAAATTGCTCTTAATAATCTATGTTGTACCACAGAAGTATGGTTTATACCAAAAATGTCCCTTTTCCAATTTGAAGAAAAAAAGGGGGACAATATTCTCAATTATGTCATAGGTTTGGACCAATATATTTTTATTAAATGAAAAACATCTGGTAAAGAGATGACTATTGGTAAGCACATTACTTTCCTAATAGAAATTAATAAATAGAACAATGATATTGAGAATGAAAAAAAGTATATTGGCCATTGGTAATATCCATATGCTGTTTTCTTTGAATAACCCATATGTTACTACCAGTCCAATTTGAGCTTAAAATTAGTAAAATAGTATTTGGACTAAAGCTTTATATGTTTTTTTATTGCTTGCAATAGATCATGGAATGAAATAAAGTAATGCTGAAGTCAATATAGCAAGTTAAGTTCTATTATAGGTGTAACACCACTAATTCGGGCCTGGCCAGAAAGCACATACCAGAAAGTAGTACATATTTAACACAAAATAGTTCCTACCCATGAGTGTAACTTGCAAAATATGTAGAATATTTAGGTATTTTTGGTATCAAATAAATACTGATTGACTGGTGATCTTTGTAGAACACTTTTTGACTTATTATTTTTAATATTAAAAAAACTGCATCAAATTTTAAAAAGAGGGTACATTTTGCCTGTTTGTCAGATCTGAAGTATCTGTTTTGGTACATCCGAAATTCCGGGAACCAGTTCTTTCTTATATGCCATTAAAGGTATGTTGGTGTTTTCAGTATAAGACACCATAAAGTGCTGCTTATTTGAACTTAAAACAAAAGAGCTGTGCCTGCTTGAAATTGAGGAATTTAACATAGAAAGCAATGGGGCCATGCATTAGTGGTGTACTTCCTATTACAGAGCATTATCAGAATATCAATTTTTAAAAGTTGTACCTATTCCAATGAAATTTAGTCATATTTGATGTCAGTAATCATGTTTAATCATCTTTTTTGGTTGAACAATTCTGTTTATGGGAAATTTCAGCCCTTAAAATGACATAATTAGGTATTTCAGCCTTTGATGGTCATACAACATGCATGCAGTTAAGACTTGACTCCAATTTCTTTTTTTTTTTGCATTATTTGGGATTGAAATCAATAAAACATGTATATTATGACTTGTTCATGGTAAAAAACTAGCTCTTGGTCAAATAATCCTATGATTTTTCAAGTTTTATTGGTTTTCTTATGGTAGTCTTTTACAATCTAGGCTATTGGTATATACTCATATAAGAATTCCAAAATCTCACTGTACATGCAATTTTGAACCAGTTTAGCAATTTATCCAGCTGAGGGATATATAAATTGCTCTTAATAATCTATGTTGTACCACAGAAGTATGGTTTATACCAAAAATGTCCCTTTTCCAATTTGAAGAAAAAAAGGGGGACAATATTCTCAATTATGTCATAGGTTTGGACCAATATATTTTTATTAAATGAAAAACATCTGGTAAAGAGATGACTATTGGTAAGCACATTACTTTCCTAATAGAAATTAATAAATAGAACAATGATATTGAGAATGAAAAAAAGTATATTGGCCATTGGTAATATCCATATGCTGTTTTCTTTGAATAACCCATATGTTACTACCAGTCCAATTTGAGCTTAAAATTAGTAAAATAGTATTTGGACTAAAGCTTTATATGTTTTTTTATTGCTTGCAATAGATCATGGAATGAAATAAAGTAATGCTGAAGTCAATATAGCAAGTTAAGTTCTATTATAGGTGTAACACCACTAATTCGGGCCTGGCTAGAAAGCACATACCAGAAAGTAGTACATATTTAACACAAAATAGTTCCTACCCATGAGTGTAACTTGCAAAATATGTAGAATATTTAGGTATTTTTGGTATCAAATAAATACTGATTGACTGGTGATCATTGTAGAACACTTTTTGACTTATTATTTTTAATATTAAAAAAACTGCATCAAATTTTAAAAAGAGGGTACATTTTGCCTGTTTGTCAGATCTGAAGTATCTGTTTTGGTACATCCGAAATTCCGGGAACCAGTTCTTTCTTATATGCCATTAAAGGTATGTTGGTGTTTTCAGTATAAGACACCATAAAGTGCTGCTTATTTGAACTTAAAACAAAAGAGCTGTGCCTGCTTGAAATTGAGGAATTTAACATAGAAAGCAATGGGGCCATGCATTAGTGGTGTACTTCCTATTACAGAGCATTATCAGAATATCAATTTTTAAAAGTTGTACCTATTCCAATGAAATTTAGTCATATTTGATGTCAGTAATCATGTTTAATCATCTTTTTTGGTTGAACAATTCTGTTTATGGGAAATTTCAGCCCTTAAAATGACATAATTAGGTATTTCAGCCTTTGATGGTCATACAACATGCATGCAGTTAAGACTTGACTCCAATTTCTTTTTTTTTTGCATTATTTGGGATTGAAATCAATAAAACATGTATATTATGACTTGTTCATGGTAAAAAACTAGCTCTTGGTCAAATAATCCTATGATTTTTCAAGTTTTATTGGTTTTCTTATGGTAGTCTTTTACAATCTAGGCTATTGGTATATACTCATATAAGAATTCCAAAATCTCACTGTACATGCATTTTTGAATCAGTTTAGCATGTTATCCAGCTGAGGGATGTATACATTGCTCTTAATAATCTATGTTGTACCACAGAAGTATGGTTTATACCAAAAATGTCCCTTTTCCAATTTGAAGAAAAAAGGGGGACAATATTCTCAATTATGTCATAGGTTTGGACCAATATATTTTTATTAAATGAAAAACCTCTGGTAAAGAGATGACTATTGGTAAGCACATTGCTTTCCTAATAGAAATTAATAAATAGAACAATGATATTGAGAATGAAAAAAAGTATATTGGCCATTG